TCTAAAAGGAGAGGCAGAACTTGTGAAAGCAAACCAGGAACTACCCAATGCTAATCACAAGTTAGAAATTTCTCAATTTCTCAGCCTCAATTCTATGCTATTAACACACTACAATATTTTATATTAAAAAATACCCTTGAGGATGAGACTCCTGGGTGGCTCAGTCAGTTAAGCCTGAGCATTCAGCTCAGGTCATGATCCCAAAGTCCTGGGATCAAGCCCTATGTGGGGCTTCCTGCTCAGCTGGGAGCCTGCTTCTCTCTCTCCTTTATCCCTCATTCCTGCTTGTGTGCTCTCTCTCTCTCTCACTCTCTCAAACAAATAAATAAAATTGCAAAAAAAAAAAAAAAAAGTACCCTTGTAGAAACATTGTCACATATACTGCCTGGAAACGAGTTAACTCCCTACATCACAAATTAAACCCAAATAAATATATTATATGGTTACTTAATTTATGGTGTGCTTTATTCGAGTCTAGACACTACTCTAAGCATGTCATAAGTCTGTTGCTCACCAGACTTTTGTCAGTTTCCCGGGCCTGAATCTCCTTCCTTGCTTATGCTGTGTAGAAAGTCCATTAGCTGCAACAGATCTATCTTTCTTCTATCTCAATAAAGCTTCCCACAAAAGTCTTACTATTGCTTCACGGGGCCAATTTTCTGAACCATATGTAGTATTTGATTATATTCAACTCAAAATATCATGTCACAATATTTTATTGTCATTGATTTCAAATTCAGCTATGTAACAGGGAAGTTTCACAGATAATACCAGAGTCTTTTTAGAAATGGAAGAACATTATCGATAAATCTTCAGTAACCATCACAATGCTAATACTAAAGGCAGTCACTAACTAAATAATTGTGACATAATTTCATCAGACAACTAGGAGTTCATATTTCCAAAGATGCCTTAAAAAAAATCTAGTCTACCTCTAGTTTTCTTACACTTAAAATCTTATTATACACACCCAAATTTTTTTCAATACTCATGGACAAATATGCTTTACTAGGTCTCCATATTCAGCTCATCTATAAATTTTTTTAACCACCCTCTCCAGTTTATTATAGTTAGAAGGAAAGTATGTCTTTTTCCTTTGTACCATCTGAATAAACTGTATCAATTTGGAGAAAAAATGAAAAATTTCAAAGTTCAAAGGCCAAATCATTTGGAAAAGGAAGACTATTCTTCAGTTGTGGTTCTTTTGTAAGTGCTGTGTTTTTAGAAGTCCTGGGTCAGAGCCTTGATTACATCAGTGCAGTCCCTAAAGTCCTTTTTACTTACGTATACGAAATAGTTAGAAAAAAATAAAGGCAAATAAAACCACAAAATAATTCATGTTAGTAACTTCATACACAAATCCTGAAGACACTTGCAAGGCTGACTTCTATTTTATATTACTTATACATTTGGGGGTTTCTAATGAGAATAAAAATGATTTATTAAGCATACATTTTGCTTAATCAGTACTTCAAGTCAGAAAGTCTGAATACTGGGAGACATTATTTTTACATAAAAGTTTCTCAATTTATAAAACATTTTCTATTGACAGATAAGGCACAGAAAAATCCTAGTGACATCTGCTAAGCTTTACTTAGGAAAACTTAAAGAAATCCTACGGGATAACATCACTCAATTTTTCCTGGAGTACTTCTGATGGAGACTTCCTAAAAAAAAAAAAATCTGGAAATAATTAGAAACCATTATAGTACCTAAAAAAGTTTACTTGAAAACTAAATCTGCTATTCATCAAAGACCATAATACACTCAGAATAATGTAATGGAAAAATAAGGTACACATATAGAATAACATAAAGCACCTCAACCAAATCTGATTGCAAAACATAAAAAAAGAAAAAAAGAAGGTTGACAGAACACAGTATCAGACCCATGATATACTGAAGAACTATGTAGGAAAAATTGCACTTAATTGATTAAGCAATGATTTTGTTAAAACAGTATATATTGATTATTTTACTTATTTTAATTTACTTCTGTTCATTTTACTTCCAGATGACAAGAAACCATTTTTTTTAAAAAAAGATACTAAGGACAATTTTAATATAAATTGAAAGGGAAGAAGAATTAATAGTTAATTCTTAAAATTTACTCTTTTGTCATAAGATCTGCATGGAAAAAAAAGTATCCAAAATACAGTAAAAAGTATTTTGGGTATTTCTGGAGCAATAAATGTGATATAATGATAATGCTAATAGCTCCTTAAACTTAAAATATATTCTCTACAGAGACCTAAAATTCCACTGGGGGGTAGACTGGATGGCATGTCCCTTGGAGTTTAAAAGGCTGTCCATATGAACTGAATTATCCTTGACAAGTACCTTCAGACACTTGTAATATGATCTCATGTAAATTTAGACCATATTTTGCACACAAACCAGTGGCGATAGTAAGTTTATTCAGGAGCTCAGATAAGAAGGAAAGAAAAACTGATATCCTTAATAACAGTTGTTCAACATGAAATTTCCAAAATGAAAAGCATAAAAATAAAAGCATCTAATGTGTTGCAGCAAATGAAAGAAAAACAAATATTAAGAAAAATGTTGCAATTTTTTTTCTTTTCAACCCTTAGCTACCTAGTGTTTCCATGCAAAATTCTATCCTTCAATAGCTTATTTAAATTTGGAAAAAGAAAAGCACATTTTAAGCAAATAAATAAACTGAAAAATTCCATTTGCATTGGAATTGTAATAACATAATATAATCAAAATATTACAATAAATCATAACACAGAGCTGCAAATGTTTACAAAAAGCTGACTGTAAGGCAAAACAAAAGGACAACTCAGAACTCTGTAACTTTAAAGATTGCTCAGGATTGCCTTCTGCCTTGGCACAGACATCCCTACAAACTTTGCTAACTCTCCAGGGATCGGCTCCATCGTCCAAGAGACACATTAAGGCCTGTAGAAGAGAACCAGGCTTTGGAGAGCGCCATGCCAGGCAAGCACCTTAGCATCATTAACTGTATTTAGTTTTCGTTATCAGAAGTCTGCTACTGCTATGGTTGTCCTGCTAATGGATGAAAACAGAATATATATAATCTTGAATTTGAGTAGTAGAGAAAAATGACAGATTATGTTAAGAAATTTTAAAGGCATGTATATGTTTTTGTGGGCCCTTAAAACCAAGATGTTATACATCCATGGATTAACAATTGTCAAAGATCATGTTATAAGCTAATTTCATAGCAGAATAATAAAGTCCTCCCACTTGAACTATATTAAAGGAAATTACTACTCATTTGTTTCTTTAAAAATATTTTGTGGAAAGCAACACTTCAGTTTAACAAAATAGCAAAACAATTGGAAACCTTTACAAACATATATTTTGTAGTCACTTAAATGAGGTATATTTAATCCATTAACCACCTGAAATATTTAAATACACTCTGAATTATTTAAAAAATTCAACTTAAAAATCAAACCAAGAGACATGTTTATAATATTGCTTTGCTGAAACACTGAAAGAAAGTGCACTGCATAGAGTGCTTAAATTTCTCACTCTTCCTTTCAATCAATATCTGAGGCAAAGTTTCATCTCTAGGGCCCTTAATGGCAGGAATTCCTGGAGCCAGCAAATGAGTAATGTTAAACCTATGATTAGATGATGAGGCCATCAAAGACACTAGACCCTAATGCTACATTCTTCTTTATTTCTCTGAACTGCAGTAAAACCCTGAGCTAAAGAAGAAGGAATTTTAAGCTTTTTTTTTCCCCCACAAAAGCTTTTTTGTTTTTTTTTAAATAAATGTGCATCATCAAGAACTTAAAAGGTCTGAACAGGAACAGAGCTCTCAGAATGTCTCTTGAACTCAGGACTCCGGCATTAGGAAACAATTTTCAAATGCCCTGCAGATGAACTCCTGCCAGGAATGCTGTTTTCTTTAACTTCTTCCTTATTAATATTCTTCATATTTTTCCTGGCTGAAAAGGAAGGAATGGACCTAATGGTTTCTCTATGAATATATTCTTGAAGAAAGTAAACCGAAGACTAGAAATCAATAGGTAAGTTTCGGTTGCTTTGTGTTTGCTAATATTTTAAAGGATCAGTTAAAGCCATATTGTTTATTTGGGAGTTAGCTGTGGCTTTGGGCAGAACTCAAGGTCAGTAACTAGAAAGAGTTTAGATGTATTTTGCTACTGAGGAAGCTAGGAATAAATGTAATAACTACTTACTGTAAACATACATAACCTTTCTTATTTTCACATTACAAAATATGTAATACTTATATGAAAATTAGGATCATTAGGAGACTTGGCAGAGCTGGTAAGAAAAAAAGGCCACTAGGTCTCTAATTTTAGTTATCAGAAAAATGTTTTATATATATATATATATATATAGTTTCTTATAACTGCTAAGAAGAAAAAAACCCAACAACTACAAATTCTGTTTTTAAATCTGATTATTAAAGATAAATAGCATAAGTATATTTTTAGAATGTACACTGAAATGTACACATTACATCAAAAAAAGAAAGCAATAAGGTATTGTATAAAAGACCACTCACTAATGAGCTGTATTTTATACTAGGGCTATTGCATGAAAAAGACTTTGCTTTCATTATCTGTAATCAAATGGAAGAAAACACTTAAAAATAAATGTCAGAATTATAAATTCTATGGTACCATTTTTAAACGGTGGAATGTAAAGAAGGGTATCAAAAGATCTGTAACAGAGTTTATATATATATATATATATATATATTTGCAGATAGAGGACAATAGAAGGATAGGAAGGTGGGAAAGAATAAGAGCTAAAGAGAGCGGAAGAACGGAGAGGAAGACTGAATCAATATTTACAAGGTACTATCATCTAAAAATATATCTTAAATTATTTTGTTCGTCTGCAGGATAAGAAATGTAAGTTTTAAAAATATGTAAACACACACATATATAGGCACACACATTCTACTAACTAAATGACATTAAAAAAAAAACACCTCCCATAGTTTAATGTAATCCAGTGGAAGAGATGTCCTACCTGAGAACACAGCAGCATGACCAGCTCAACCACAGACGTGCTGGACTTCATACAAACGAGGCCTGCAACAAAGAAAGGTTGAACAAAATGAAATTACAGTGGTAGAAATCATCACTCCAAGTTGCTTCACTATGTAATTTTAACTTACAAAACATTCTACAGACTAGAACTCCTAAAATAAAACAAATGGAAAGATTCACTAACACATATTTTTTATGGCATTAATTTCAAAACATTCAGATATTCAAGAAGATGTAGAAAAAAATACTAAAAACTGACTTCATGCTTGGGTTATTTATTGGTCAAGGCCTTTTTTTTATATTTAAACAAGATGGAGGGTAGTTATCGGAATTGGTGCGCTTGTTAGAGCTACTTTGAATCCAATGACATTTGCTATGTGATTGTCTCCTGAAAAAAGAAGCAATAATCAGTGAAGATCTGCCTAAATTTTCTTCTAAAAGACAAAATTAATATAATTTACAAATAAATAACTGCCCATAGGTTATCAGTTGTTAAATGTTTTTAAAATATTAAGAAATGAATTTCACACACATTTAGTATGTTAAGCAATGTTCATAGAATCTTGAAATGTTGTAATTTGTACAAATAACGGCTACTACTCATTGATCACTTACTGTATGCGAGGCACTGTGTTAAGTGCCTTATAGTCATAGTATCATTTAAATCTTATTTCTATTCTGTTACATACTACTATTATACCCATACTACAGATAAGAAAATATTCTTCCTATAAACAGCTTAAACATTAATTATTCATCGGGATGTTTCCCAATTGAAAGGATGACTGCTGAAGAACCTGTAATAAGAAAGCCAATCATGACTGGTAGTTTTTTTTAAAGTGCCAACAATGGAGGAAGACGTAACTAAGGATTAAGAACAATTCCTGGTTGAGAGTATATAATCATGACGCTTACTAACATAAAAAAGATTTTAAAATTTTTCATTTTTTTAAAAAAAAATAATGTTTTTTCTTTTTAAGGAGGACAGAAGTGATAAGTAAAAGCATGGGATAGCAGGAAATGCCATAGTCTTATATTAGTTGTTGCTAAATGGAAAGCTTAAGTGAAACCAGTTTTTCTCTTCTTTTCTTCTTAAGGTGATTTCAGTAAATAGTCTCAAATGCCTTCTAGGCTCTAGCATGTATATTTACTGTAGGTTGTGGATAAATACCCTTTTGTGCCCATTCTGCTAACAATCCTATCCTTATTGTACACATGACAGAAAAAGCTGTAAAAGGCACTAGTATTCCATCTTATCAGATCTTTGGGCAGACAGTTAACTAATGAAATAAGAGGCAGATGTGAAAAGCTCATTTAAGAGACAATTGCGGTAATTGATCAGCAATTCTCATGCTCAGGAACTAGAGAGTCAAAAAGATTAATGGGACATTTATCACCTGTTGGTTACTCAACTATTTGAAATTCTGACAAAGAAAAACTAAGGAAAAGGCCAAAGGACTATGCATAGCAAAAGAATCATAATTCTGATATGTACTCCATATAAATTTAGATTTTAGACTATAGGTTATATAAGGGATGACTATATAAAGAATTATTCACCATATATTTATTCTGTGTATTAGAATTTTTTTTTTAATTTATTATTTATTTGACAGACGGAGATCACAGAAAAGCAGGCAGAGAGAGGAGGAAGCGGGCTCCCTGCTGAGCAGAGAGCCCGATGCGGGGCTCGATCCCAGGACCCTGGGATCATGACCTGAGCTGAAGGCAGAGGCTTTAACCCACTGAGCCACCCAGGCGCCCCTAGAATTTTTTTAATACATAACAACTTAAAAGTAAAAATTAGGAAAAACATGCAATTATGTTAATTTCTCACAGTCTGATTTTTAAAATGAACTTCTAAAAAACTCCTGGGGTGCCTGGGTGGCTCAGTGGGTTAAGCCTCTGCCTTCAGCTCAGGTCATGATCTCAGGGTCCTGGGATCGAGTCCCATATTGGGCTTTCTGCTCAGCGGGGAGTCTGCTTCCCCCCATTTCTCTCTGCCTGCCTTTCTGCCTACTTGTGATCTCTGTCTGTCAAATGAATACATAAAATCTTTTAAAAAAATAAAAAATAAATAAAAAACTCCTATGTAACAGGAATGTTCATAATCTTTACAAATTCTATCATACAGAAAATATAAACAAATATTCTATCAATGCTTTGTTCAAAGGACATGACAACAAATTGATAGGATCGCAAAACTGCAATTTGCAAACAGTATGGCCATTGTGATTTCAACTCCATAGATCCATGCACCTTTACTGGTGTGTTTTGTCTAGTTAGTTTTGAACACAATGAACTAATGGATTCTCCTTAAAAGGAAAAATATAATCTACCATTGACAATGCGAACATAAGCAGAGGCAGTTCTGGAAGACTTATCAACCTTCAAGTATTACACAATCACTTTAGTTGGAAGTATTTCTAGGTGTTAACAAAAGTATTACTAAAACAAATACCCAAACTCCAATGTTTTTTATTAGCGATACTAAAAATACAAGCAATGTCTGGTGATATTCTAACCTTGCACACTTTCTAAATAAAGACATACGCACATTTGAAAGTTTAAAATGTAGGAATAAACATGGTATTGTATTAACTTAAATCATAAGCTCAAGAAAGCCACATTTATCTAGTGATGCTATAAACACCTAAGCTATATAAGCATAAGGAGAATATTTTATAAGTGTATATTTCAAACAGGTTGATTTTATCCTTCTTGTATCTGGCAAGAAATTCATAATCAAATCAACTCATTTGGCAGCTACTCACATAAGCAAAGTATAGTGTTAGCACTGAGGAGTTTACAGTAATGGATAAGACATTATCTACTCCTTCCTATGTGTTCCATGTTTTATTTTATTTTATATTTTTTAAGACTTTATTTTTATTTTTTTGACAGAGATCAAGGCAGTCAGAGAGAGAGGAGGAAGCAGGCTCCCCACTGAGCAGAGAGCCCGATGCGGGGCTCGATCCCAGGACCCCAGGATCATAACCTGCGCCGAAGGCAGAGGCTTTAGCCCACTGAGCCACCCAGGCGCCCCGTGTTCCATGTTTTAAATCAAATCTAAGATTATCTAACATTTACCTGGAGCTTTAACATTTACAAAGCATTTTTACATATGCTATCTCATTTCATTCTCTTAATAACTCTTTGATTTAGTTATTATTACCTCATACGATAGATAAAAAATGAAGAGTCAGTGACTAGCCCAAGAGGTGTCATTCAGTTAAGTAGGAGAACTGGAACCCAAATTCAAGGAACCTAACTTGAATGTCCATTTGATGTTTGCTGCAGAGCTATATAAATAATTAAACATGAATAGGATGGCAATATGTCTCTATGAGAAAGGTCATAATGGTTCATTCCAACTGGGATGATTTGACAGTTTTCTTGGAGAAGGTAGCATATGTTGGTCAGACATGAGGACAAAAAGCACAATCTTTAGTAAAAGCAAAGAGGGAGAAGGGAAAAAAAATGTGAAAGACGTTTATTGTTTGTGGGGTGGATGAGTAGAATATAGGCAGTGTATAAAAGTAGGACTGAGGGCTATCATAAAATTCAAAGATAAATAAAGATCAAAAGCAGTAAAATTATGTTTTTGAAAAGGGAAGAATTTAGTGCAAGTTATATAATGGAGGAAATGATACGAAGGTTAAGTATTCCTATTTCATGATCACTTATCCCATGCTTGTTAACTGAGAAGTCCCCAAAGGAGCTGTACATGTTTGCCCCATCATCAAAAATCTACTTAGACGTATCGGCCAGTTAATAGAGTATTTTTACCGGCAAATACACATTCACCAGAATAAATATTCTGACTAGGAATACTAATCCAATACTTTATACCGCACAAGTTACTGGTATAAAATTAAGACCTGGAGCAAAGACAATACATATGTGAGCAAAGGAGGTCTGTACGTAAAGGAGGTATTCGACAGTGAAGAAACTATCTAGTAAGAGTTTTTGAATATATTATGAACTACACTGTTGAAAGATAAGATCAGCTAACTGAGTGGTTAACATACAAGCATGTGAGAAGATTAATTAGATTAATTAACAAATTTGAGGTGGTCCAGATGCAAGAAGCAAAGAATGAATAGAACTGAATAAACTAAACCATCATCCAAAACACTGGCAGTTCTTTTGGGATCCCCCCTACTAGGGGTAAGAAGTCAGTATTATTTTCAGAACTATGTGTCTTCACCATAAACAACAAAATAAACAAAACCCCACCAAGCCCCACTAAAATGCAGGATAAGTATGCAAGTTTTAAGTTTGACTTTGGGACAAAGCTATCTTTCTTAATACAAGGAAGACTGCAAGGTACAGTGATGCTGTTTTACTACAAAGCTTTCAGATTCTTCTGAGTCCATCTGTCAATCTGACTTCGTGTGTCTATAGAATTAGATCAAGTTAAAAGAGCCCTTCAGCTTTAAAATATTGTAGGGAAATTCCATCTCTAGCAGGATGTTCCTCACAGTGGGAAATAAAGGGTATGAAGCCTTACAGTGATAAGCAAGAAATCACACTCCAAGCAAGAAATCACATAGATAAGGGTGCCTGAGTTGCTTAAGGTGGCCAGTTGGTTAAGGGAAAACCTCTTCGTTTTGGTCAGGTCATGATCCCAGGGCCCTTGGATCTGGCACAGCTTCCAACTCCACCCTCAGCAGGGAGTGTCTGCTTGAGGATTTTTTTCCTCTCCTTCTGCCCTTCCCCCTCACACACACACACTCTCTCTCTCTCTCTCTCTCTCTCTCTCTCAGATAAATAAATTTATAAATAAATAAATAATATTTTAAAAGAATAATAATCACACCCATAGGTGGGACTCATCTTTTAAGCAGTGTCAGAATTTTCTTTCAGCCAAGGGCCTTCTTTCAAAAGAGGAGACCCCCAGACATCTATGACTAGGGCAGGGCTCTGAGTACACTCTCATTAAATGTCAATTAAATGAATAAATCTAGAGACCATCATTCACTGAGTAACTGTGTAGTTGATGATAGAGAAAAAAAATTGGATTTTGAGGGAAAAAAAAC